GGGCTATACTGAGATTGCAGGGCCAACTCTGACAATTTAAAGACCCTGCCCCAAAATAAAAAGCAAAAGAGGTATGGGTATACAGAGTGTATCCTTAGCACACGTGAGGCCCTGATTTCAGTATCTAATACTGGGGTGAGGAGGAAGCGTAGGTAGGATGATTCCAACTTCAAGGCCTACTTGGCAATTCAGTATGACCTGTCTCAAAGCAAAAACAAAGGCAAGGAGTATAGTGGCAGAATGTATAGCCTAAGACATGAAAGGGCCTACCTAGGTTAAATCCCCACTATTTCACAAAACCCCTAATCTGAGCATGCCAGTCTAGAATCCCAGCACTCAGAAGCAGGGGTACATGACAGACTCCACCTTGGGGGGGGGGGGGGGCTTGAGGATGTAGCTTAGTTGAGTGTCTGTCTACCATGCTCTAAACCTTGAGTTTGATCCATAGCACTAAATAAGAACTGGGCACGGTGGCACACACAAACATGTGGAGGGTAGAAGCAGGAAGATCAGTAGTTCAGATCAGTCATAAGCCACACAACCCCCACTCCCCCCTCCTTTAAAAAAATCCATCACGGTGTCAACTTATCTTTAATTCCAGTACACAGGAGACAGAAACAGGCAGGTCTGAGTTGAAGCCAGCCTAGTCTACATATCAAACTCCAGACCAGTCAAGGACACATAATTGGAACCTGTCTCAAAACTAAACACCCCATACAAAAATCTTGTTTCCAAAAGGGCAAGTCTGCACAAGATCATGACTAACTTATTTTGTATCTTGTGAAAGTTAATGATAGAACCTATCATTGAAGTAAACCTATTTCTGAATAACTTGGGGATTTCACTATTCAAATTTTTTTTTTTTTTTTTTGGAAACAAGGTCTCGATAGGTGGCTCCATCGCTTCCAATTAATGACCCTCATGCCTCAGCCTCTCAAATGTTAGGATTACAAGAATGAGTGCAGCTAGTCAACACTTTTTTCTTTTTTTTGGTTTTTCAAGACAGGGTTTCTCTGTGTAGCTTTGCGCCTTTTCCTGGAACTCACTTGGTAGCCCAGGCTGGCCTCGAACTCACAGAGATCCGCCTGGCTCTGCCTCCCGAGTGATGGGATTAAAGGCGTGCGCCACCACCGCCCGGCCTAGTCAACACTTTTGAACTGTGTCAGCATTCTAGTCACTGACAGGGGGGGGTAATTATGTAGCATTTTTTTCCTTAAAAGCTCTTTTAAATGAAAAGTAAAAGCAGACCAAGTTAAAAAGGGTTATTTCTATATAGTTTTAATAAGAGATCTGGAAAATAATGTGCATGGGAGGCAGACTAATGATGCGTGCCATATTGTATACGTGCCAGGTTAGGTTGGTTTCCTATAACTCACTAGCTGCTGAAAAAAGGGCCAGAGACAGCATGTACATGCACCAAGGTGCAACCAGAAAATTAGGAATGCAATCCATTCCACAGGTTTGCAGGGCATTACAATTTAGGTGGTTGTCAACAACACACAGGTTTCTTAGTGCTGAAGACTCAAGAACCTTGGGCATGCTAGGCAAGGATTTTAAGATTATAGAAGAGGACAGGACATCCCACCTAAGATAGAGGTCAATACAGAACTTGGTAGGTAGCAGTTAATAACTCATATTTATAGTCAAATCTAATTTAGGGTGGAAAAAATTCCATTTAAATCGTTTCTCATTATGTTTTTCAAACTGCTCTTCATCTGTGACTTGAAGCATTCCTGAGTAATTTGGACTACAAAGTAATGACTATAGTGCTATCTAATTTTCCATTTTAGGCCCCTGGCTCCGATCAAATACCAATGAGAAACCCTCATTTCTGACTTAAGTCTTGGCAAAGGTGAGCAAACACGAACTGGCCTTACTTTTGATAGGCCGGCACCAAAACTCAAACAGCATCTTGTCCACATAAAGCATATTACTTGAAGGAATGGACTCAATCCCCAATACCACAAAATAAACCCCCCCTTAACAAAGTAGGAATCTGCTTCTGAAACATCTTTAAGTCTAGAAGAGTCATGAATACTATCATGTAGTTTGATACCATGTTTTTTTTTTTTTTTTTAAATCCTCAAAGGGTTAAATAGTTCAGTACTATAGCACTTGCCTACGTGGCATGTACAAAGTCCTGGGTTAGCTCTCCCAGTGAGTCCTAGTGATTAAACTCAGCTAGACATAAGCTACATCTCCAGCTATGGAAGATTCTAATGAAGGATATCATGTAGTTCAAGCCAGCCACCTCTTTATTCTCCTCCCAAGTGCATACCTCCAGGTGTGCCCCAACTCCCCAACTCTGCTTAACTTAATGTCCAGGAACTGGCTCTGTAGACCAGGGTGACTTCAAACTTAGATTCCCCTGCCTCTGCCTCCCCGTGCTAGGATTAAAGTCGGGTGCTACCACACCCACCTTTGGCTGCCATTCTTTAACTTCCAAAACACTTATTGTGAAAATGCTAAACAAATTCTGTAAATTGTCATATCACCTTAAAAAAGGAACATTCAGCCAGTAGGTAGTGGCACACGTCTTTAATCCCAGCACTTGGGAGGCAGAGCCAGGAGTTCGAGGCCAGGATAGGCTCCAAAACTACAGAGAAACCTTGTCTTGAAAAACAAAAAAAAACCCTAAAAATGGGGGGAGGGGGAAGAGGAAGAGGATGGGGGGAAGAGGATGGGGACACACCCAAAAGGTTAAGGATATAGCTCAGTGGTTGAGGGTTTATATCCAGCATGTAAAAGGCCCTTAGTTGAATCCCTTGCCTTGCAATAACCAACGACTCAGTAAGATCATGTGTGAAGCAGGGGTGTTGGTAGAAAGGAAATCTTTTCCTTCTAGATAACTCAAATAGTGGATATGACCTTAAAAATTCTTAGAAGGCCTGGTGGTGGTGGTTCACATCTTTCATCCCATAACTTGGGAGGCAGAGGTAGGAGGATCTTTTAGTTCGAAGCCAGCCTGATCTGAGAGTGAGTTCCAGGGCAGCCAGGGCTACACAGAGCAACCTTGTCTCAAAACAAAAAACAATAACAAAAAGTTTGTAGAGGAAGCCAGGAAGTTGAAAAGGAAACACACACCTTTAATCCCAGTACTTGGGAGGCAGAAACAGGTGGATCTCTGGGAATTGGAAGCTAGCCTGGTCTACATAGTTGAGTTCCAGAATCACAGCTACATAGCGAAACCTGATCTTGGAAAAACAAAAACAAAACAACCAAGGGGGTCACTGATATGGCTTAGTGGGTAAACGTGCTAACCATAAGCCTGAGAACTTGAGTCTGGGTATGGGGAATCCACAGTAGGAGACAAATGACCTCAGAAAATTTTCCTTACTGCCACAAAGGTACATGTCCACAATCCCACACAAGATAAAAAACCAAATGAACTTCCTCAGAATGTTACCAATTAGTGTTGGTAGCATATGCTATATCCAGAAATTCATCTTCCTGTTACCCCTCACCACAGACCATCTATACTGCTCACGCTAGGCTCAAACGGAAGCTTAACTTTTGGCACTTTTGAGTACACCTGAGAGGGCTGAACTACTGCACACAACAAAATGAAAATTTCTTCTGGGATATGCAAAGCGACACTAGCAGAACTCAAACTTTCTAACAGAGTAAAAAAGGATTGTAAAATAAACTCAGGGTATCTCTAAAACCTTCACTGAAATACCAGGAAATATGTTCAAATTTATAGCATGCGTTAAAAAACAATAAAAACAAAACCTTTCTTTTATAGGTTTACCGTAAACTAGATCTGAAGGGAGCAGCCATGTGATCAGGTAAACAGAAGGTCAGGCATGATCCCAAATTCAAGTCCAGTCATAGAGTAAAACAGGGTCTCTATCTCAGACTGAACTCAAACTCCTCATGTTGCTGGGGATGACCTTAACTTCTGATGCTGTCTATATTCCTGAGTTATAGGATTAAAGTGTATGCCTTTATGGGGTCAGGCACTTGGTTAATGCTCGATAAGTACTCTGCCAATATGAAGTAGCTGCATCTACAGGCATCTCAAAAATAAAAAAAGATAGCCATAATCTGGAAAAAAAAAATCTGATATCTTAATGCTACAGATCAAGCTAAATGGTTCAAAGTATTCTTCAAGTTGCCAACTCCACACAGTAGGACAAAAGAAAATAAGCTAGCACTGCTGATGGATTTGTTTCCCCTTATGTGCATAATGTTCTTTTTATTTGTTTGTTTGTTTGTTTTTTTGCCTTCTGAGACAAGGTTTTGCAATGTAGCCTTGACTGGCCTGGAATTCTCATGTAGACCAGGCTGGCTACCAACAACTCAGGGCAAACCTGCCTCTGCCTCCCAAGTGTTGGGATTAAAGGTATGTGCCACCATGCCTGGCCTTGTCCACACTTTTTTTTTTTTTAAATAATTGCAGTTTAGATTAAAAAAAAAAGGTAAATAATTAGTAACAGTTAAAATTAAATTGAAGAAAATCGGCAAGGATTTTTTTGTGCATGTTACTGAGGAGACTAAAATTTTAACCAACAATATTTGAAATATCTTTTTAAGACAATTGGGCTGGAGAGTTTGAAAGACAATTACTAATAATTCTATGTCACTGAATTAAATTGAAACTATTCTTTGGACTTCAGGTTATCAAATACACCAAAAATCTCTTCCTGATTTTAAAGAGTGACAAAACTAATTTTTCCCATGCTATTTTCAATTCTACTGTTAAAGGCATGGGCATCTCTGAATATGAGCTTTTACAATTTCTTTAATCTCAGCATTTAAAACTGTAAGGTTAAAGAAAGAAAAAAAAAAAGCCCCATTTTTAGTAATGTAACAAGAACAAGAAATCCACCAGGACGAAACTGAGATCTTTAGTAGTTTTTAGAACACCCAATCTAGACTTATGAATAAATTGTTAAAGCATGCACAAAAATGTAACAGTGAATTTAAAAAAAAAAGTAACAACTGACAAATATTTTGGTTAACATTCCAAACATGTTTAACCAACCAATCAACATGGCCTAGGTTTGTTTTTTTTATTGGTATTCACTTCAGTAACTTGAATCCACAGATATAAGCAGTATATAACCAGAGAGTTACAAGTAAACACAGATTATACATGCAAAGTTCTGCTCACAAAGGTCACATGTGCAGGTACATGAATTAGAAGCGTGCGTCTAGAATTATGGCCAAACTCTTTTTAAAATGCAGAAATGTAAAATCACATCCTGAAAATATAGAGATGGTTTACACACTTCAAAAATCAAATGTTGCTTATACCAGAGATGTATGACAGCTACAGGATTCAAGTGACAAGCAATAGTTTCTCAAGAAATTAATACTGGTCAAAGAGAACGGGAATATTTTTACATTTCACTGAAATAACATTTGACTACTAGAATACGAAACCTAGCAGGAACTCAGGGAAAAAATTACAAATCTAAAGCCAATTACTTAATATTTCTTATCATCTAAACAGCATGACATTAAAAGAAAACTGCACCTGCATTTGAATTGCCAATCTCACATGAATGAAGTTCTCTAAAAATGAAATGCAACCAAAACAGCTTCCAAAGTCAAATGAAAAGTCTGCAAGGCTCAGATTAAAATGTGGAATGTTTCAGATGAAAAGTAATAAAAAATACAATTGGTTTTGTTCTTTATTGAATGGAATCAAACGTTGACATTTCTTTGAAGCCTCAAACTACTAAATTTCATTTTTCTGAATGGTTCTATGTTATCTTTCTCTTAGTGGTGCAAGTTGTTTTCCAAAGCTTACAACAGTCAATCTCTACAAAGTACTTTTGTCTGTTGCCATTCTGATGAAACAAAAACATTTTCATTAACTTAACCGTATGTGTACTTTCTGCTATAACACTTAAACACATGAACAGACATCTATTATTTTTCCACTAAAACAAAAGAGTACAATAGTTTTCTAACTATCAGTATTGTATTTAAAAAAGGTTAACATTAAAATCAAAGAACCATTGTTTTCTTTGAAATAATTAAGCTTCTTGTACATCTTAAGTTTCCTTCTTCTGTCTCCGTTCTTCTGCCAATTTATTCAGATATTTCTGAGGGGAAAAAAAAAGAATTACAGGGACTAAGTAACTGATGAGACATTTAGTATATATATTAATTATAAAATAAAATATTCAGTCCAGGTTTAGGGACTTACACTAACATCTTAATATTTTATGAATGAGTTATTCAGCATAGAAAACTAAACTGGCTCAGGACACAACAATAAAGCATGAAAAAAATGGCAAATGTGGAAAATGGATATTTCAATGTGCAATTAACCCTAACTTTTAGAAATGAGAAAACATAAGAACATGATCACAGAGGAAGAAATAGCTCTATTAGATCTTTGTTGTAACAATTTCACTGACCTCAAAGAGCCATAGACAATACTCGAAAGACTATGGCTATGATCGATCGGCTGTGCTCTAATAAAACTTTATTTACAACAGTAGGTGGCTGGGCTACAAAATATAGTCCTGTCACCTATGATCTTCAATGTACAATTTGTAGACACAGTTCTATTGATACTCTAAGGGAATATCAAACACATTTAAAAACCATCTCCATCTCTGGTTACAATCTACCAGGACTGATTACTGCAGACTGATGAGAGGGTTAAAAGCCATTATATCCTTAAAAAGCAAATGAAACAAACAAACAAACAAAAAAGAAAAGAAAAAGACACAAAACATCTAGTTAAGTGTCAAAACAGGTAAGAATAGTGTCAATTTATCATTTGAGCAACACAAACTCCCTAATACCTTTCAATGCAGTTGATTCATCTTTTCTCTGAATACTTAAGTCATAAAGCACACCCTTCTAGGTAACACACATGGTTTTGACCCCACATGGCCTAAAATCCAAACAGTGCATTTGGGGTATAAATGAAGCCATGCTCATCCTCCTCCCAAAATAAATTGCTGTTAGCACTGCAAATGACCGCCATTCTTTTCTTATATCCATAATGGTAAGAGACATAGATTTACATTCGAAAGCAATGCAAATGATATAAGCAAGAATTAAAATGAATTTTAATTCTTTGTCCACCAGTCAACACAGAAATGTGCTGAGATAATTGAATGCTACACAGGTTGAGTTTCTCTTGTTTGAAAAACCTGGGATTAGAAGCGTTAGGGAGTTCAGATTTGGATGAGGCACCATGAAACATAGCCCAAACACGATAATTCTACCTTTTTTTTCTTACTGAGTCAAAGCCAGGACAACATGCTACCAAGAGCTCTGCCACTGAGCTGCATCTCCATACCCCAGAGGTAATTTCATTTTTTTCTTTCTTTCATGCATAAGTAGGTATACACATGCTTAAGCCCATGACTGACATCAGGCATCCTCCTTGACTGCCCTTTAACCTTATTCATTGAAGCAGGGTCTCTCAATCAAACCCAGACCGTGCTAATAAAGGTGGTTTCACTAGCCAGCCTGCTCCATTTCCACCTCTGACAGCTAGAATCACAGCCCAACCCCTCCCTAACCCAGCATTTAAACTGAGTTCTGCAGTCCTCTCGCTTTCACAGCAAGCAGTTTTATCACTGAGCCATCTCCCAAGCCCTCTAAATATAACTTTACACAATATTTTTAGTGTACCAGCATTCTGACTACAATTTATTACTGTTACTAGGCCAGATGTGGAGTATTACAGACTGTCAAGATTCGGAATATTCAACAAGTAGCCACTTTTCACTATAAATGAAGAAATGTGAAATCAATCCACCTACAACTGAGTTAAGTACTGCTTTCAGGTTTGCTTTTATTATTTATTATTGAAGCATTAAAGAGGCTCCTAACTAAAAGAGTAGGAATTGTTCTTGCTTCCCATTGGGCTTTACTCATTTATGCTGTGATATAGGTAAAAATGAAGAGCATCAGTAACATTAGAATAGCAATCTTCAAAGGTTGCTCACACTTATTATCCCAGTACTTTGTTTGGGAGGCTGAGACAGAATGATCCCAAAGTCTAATCTAAGATGACCTAGAAAGGGAGACTCAGTCTCAAAAATAAATAAATAAATCAAGGACTCGGTACTATACAAACTCAAAATATTTTAATTCTGTTTCATGTTCAGATCTCCATGAAATTTGAGAAATTAGTTTGAGAATACTTGATAAATTATAATGTAAAAAAAGAAATTATTTCCTTTCTTCCTAATTCACTACATAGCTAAGGTGATCTACTCATTCTCCTGATTCTATCTTCCAAGTCTAAGAATTATGGGTGTACACGACTAAATCAGTTTTTTGTTTGTTTGTTTGTTTTTGAGACAGGGTTTCTCTGTATAGTTTTGGTGCCTGTCCTGGATCTCGCTCTGTAGACCAGGCTGGCCTCAAACTCACTGAGATCCACCTGCCTCTGCCAGTGCTGGGATCAAAGGCGTGTGCCACCACCATCTGGCAAATCTGGTTTTGAGTGAAGAGGCTCTAAAAGTTCGTAGAACCCATTAAATTCCTTAACGCACAGGCAATTAAGGAAAAATGTCTTTGAGATAAAGCATTATGATGGGTCGAAGGACATACACACATTTTACTTATTTATCTCATTTATTTCCATAAATCATTTGTTTTCCATAAATCTCCTCTTATATTCAGCCTTACCTTTAATTTCTGATAATGAGGAAGGCTGCTGCAATGAGTATTCTTTGCAACTTCTTCATTTGTATAAAAGAGTGAACACAGCTTACAGTAAAACCCTGTTTTAGGTATCACATAGTCTATACCTAGAAACACAAACATACATTCTTACAAATTAAGTAAACTTTAATTTTACTTAGTACTCTCAAATCTTTTTTTTCCTGACAATAAAACTTGAATCAGACAACATATTTGTGAAAAGTCCATTATGGCCTAAGCTAAAAACAAACAATAGCATATTACTCTTTCTTTTTACTTAACTGATATTCAAGGTCCTACCTATCTGAAGTCTTTAAAATGGAAGACAATAATATAACAAACACAAAACGAAAAGCAATGTGTAACTTTAGAAATCATTATGAGAAGAGAGAACATAGTGGAATGGTAACATAATACAAAATTAGGAGACACATGAAGAGGGAAATAGAGCAATGTCAGTGTAAGTTCACAAATTAATGGTAGGGAGGGAGAAGATAACTTTACATACTATCAGAGTTTACATAAGACCAACTTTTAAATCTTATTTTAATAAATTTGTTGGGCGAAATGAGAAGAGGAAGAAAGCAGAAAGTCTTTAAAGCTCACCAACAGGAACATTTGGCTGGTACGGTCCAATTCTATACTCATCTGGAATTGTATAATCTTCCTTGTTTTCGTCAGTTTGGCCATCTGCATTTTCACTTGTGTCTTTGTTTGGATCATCAGCATTTTCAGCAGACTCAGCACCTGGTTCTGTATTTTCCTCATTTTTAATCCCATTTTCCAAGGCAGCTTCATTTTCTTGATCAAGTTCCTCCATCTTTTCCACCTAATTTCAACCAAACCATCATTTCTGTCACCAGATTTAAATGTCATGCCTGATTTATGTACTTTTTTAACTTTGGAATCTTCCTCATCACTGTCCTCATCTAGAATGACAAAACCTTCCATATTCCTTGGGAAATGACACTGTTAAGAAAGATAAATATACTCTGCAACAATAATCCTGCAGTACCCCTTCAATTTGTTTTATTTTTTGGAGACCCGAATTGGAGATCATAATCCCTCTGCTTCCCTTTCCTATTATGCCTGACTTGTCTTTGTATTTATTATCTCAAAATAGCCTTTTCTTGGGCTATAAATGCAACAGCCTGTATGAAGCCCTAGGGTCAGTCCTCAGCACTACCCCCCGCCCCGAGCTGAGGACTGAATCCAGGGCCACCGAGCTAAATCCCCAACCCAGTCCTCAGCACTATCCTTAGGAGTGAATGTATAATTTAAGAAAGGAAAATTTTCTGCTAGACTCATTAATGACTTCAGAAAGAACTCAGTTTGTTTTTTGTTTTTGTTTTTGTTTTTTTAAGAAAGGAAACTCTTAAGCAGCACAGCAGGATGGGTCAGTAGCAAGACTACAGATTGTGGCCAATTTAGCTTGTCAGAAAGTTAAATTATGGGGGTTAGGGTTGATGCTCAGTGATGAAGTGGTTTCTTTTAATGTGTTGCCATTAGTTTGACCCCTCATGTAAAAACAAACAACCCCCTAGAAAAACAAATCCACCAAGCTTCAGTGACACAAAGCTCACTAAAATTCATACTTCACCAAATGGAGAGCCTGCCTCATCTAAGAAAATATCAGATGGAAGAGAATTTATATTCAGGTTGGAAAGATGGCACAGTGGTTAAGAGCTGTGACTGTTCTTCCAGAGGATCTGGGTTCAATTCCTAGACCGCACATGGCAGCTCAAAAGTGTCAGTAACTCCAGTTCCATGGGATTTGATGCCCTCATACACCATATGCAGTCAAAACACCAATGCACATAAAGTAAAATAAAAATAGAGAAATCACTAGAAAACAAAAAAGACTCAGTGTAGAGAGTCTGCTTAATCCTTGCCAGGCCCAAGGTTCTATACTCAGCACCAGTAAAATAAGTAATAATAAAAACAGAAATTTCATATTTTATACTTTCTCAGACAAATATTCTAAGAAACGAGTTAAAGAACTTACTTAATTGAGTAATGTTCTCTGAACTTAACAGTTCCTATGATATAACTTCCATTTAGAACAAAACATCAGCTTGATATAGTGAAATGGTTTAACAATTTTGGAGCAGACCGACACTATTGATCTGATACTTAAGAGTCACGAACTAGGACAAGATACTGAAATTCTTCATGCTTAAATTCTTAATTTATGGAATGGGGATAATAAGACCACCCATTAACTATGGTTATTATAAAGATAAAGAGAGTTTAGAAAAAAATCACAACATGAGTTCAAGTCATTAGGTCTTTTTTTTTTTTTTTTTTGGTTTTTCGAGACAGGGTTTCTCTGTGTAGCTTTGCGCCTCTCCTGGAACTCACTTGGTAGCCCAGGCTGGCCTCGAACTCACAGAGATCCGCCTGGCTCTGCCTCCCGAGTGCTGGGATTAAAGGCGTGCGCCACCACCGCCCGGCCGAGTCATTAGGTCTTAAAAGGGAAACATTACAATTATATTTTCTAGGCAGAAAAATTAAAAGTTATGTGACTAAGTCATCAATATTTTAAAAGTAAATACTAGTTTGGGAATAGCAGAATGAATCAATAGAAATGATGACAAAAACTCTTGATACCATGAAGGGGGGGGGGGGGGGAAATCACTAAAGGGGTTACCAAGACATTTTAATATCTTTTTTTTTTTTTCTTGAGACGGGCTTTCTCTGTGTAGCCTTGGCTGGCCTCAAACTCAGAGACATCTGCCTGCCTCTGTCTCCCAAGGACTTCAATTAAAGGCAACATTTTACTATATTACCCCTTATTCGATACAGCATATTATTTTGTGCCTGCCAACACGAAGGCGAGAGAAAATCTTGGTTGTCATTCCTTAGGTACCATCAACCATCTGTTTTTGGGAGACAAGGTTTCATGTACTCCATGGTTACCTCAAGTTCCCTACATGACTAAGGATGACCTTGAACTTCTAAATCTGCATTCCTGCCTCTGACTGCCAGGACCACAGGTGTGTGCCACTATGTAGTTTCTATGTAGTGCTGGGGATTGTGAATACTAAGCAAACACTCTACCACGAGGCAACACCTCTAGCCTTCATTTTCTAGTGTTATTCCCTTAAAAGCCACTAAAAAACATCTAAGACTTCACAAAAAACTTAGGCCTGCCTCTGCCTTCTCCTGGAGTGATGCATGTACTGTCAAATCTGGCATTCAACAACAGCTTTTAAATGGTTAAAGTAACTTGTGTTACTGAATTTCAAACTCATAACCCTATCTTTTTAGTTGTCTGGGACTCACTACGTTGTGCAGCTGAACCTCAAACTTCTAAGTCACTTTTCTCTACCTCCATAAGTGCTTGAGATCACATGGATATGCCGTTATGTCTGGCTAACATCTTTTTGAAAACAAACATACCAGAGCTTATAATTACCACTGTAAGACAAAAGCTTACCTAGTTTAAAGTCTTTCTTATACTTTGGTTACAAGTTTTCTTTAAAAGTTGACTATTAGCCAGACAGTAGTGGCGCATGACTTTAATTCCAGCACTTGGGAGGCAATTGGATTTCAGTGAGTTCAAGGCCAGCCAGGTCTACAAAGTGAGATCCAGGACAGCCAAGATTGTTACACAGAGAAACCCTGTCTTGAAAACCACCAAAGAGTTGACTATTTTTTTTTTGGTAGCTCTAAGGAAGTGTTTCTTTCTATTGTAGTTTCCTCTTCAAATGTTTTTCTGTTTAAGAAAAAAACAAACAAAAAACAAAAACAAAAACAAAAACCTACAAGAAAAATTGATCTGACCTAGTGTTCTAATTAAAACAAATATAAAACTTACCTTTTTAAGTTTTTTCTTGGATACTGCTGAAGCACTTGCATCTTTTTTCACAGCTTTATCTGAAGGCTCCTTTTTCCCATCAGATGATACATCCCCTAAATTAGCAAGATCAGTCTCATCGCCCACCGAACTACCACTTTCTAGGAGAGCTGCTGCTTCCTCCTCATCGACAAGCAGCTCATCTTCAGACTCAAGAAGCATGCTGGGTTCCTGTTCTGCCTGGTCATCCTTAGTGTCTTTCTCACCGTCTTCACCTGACTTCTCTTCTTGTTCTTTACCCTCTGCTGGACTCTCAGTCTTCTGTGAACCATCAGTCTTGGATTTCTTATCACTTGGGACTCTTTTCCATCTGGAGAATAGGATCTTTTCCTGAACAAGACAGATGCACATTTTGTTTGTCGAGTTGAAAAATAAAAGCCTAATGTCAGTATGAATGGTTCATATCGATTGCCAATTTCCTAAGATCTAAGATCAGATCAGCTGGTGGGAAGTGGGAAGATCTATCCTGAATGTGGGTGGCACTAGTCCATGAATTGCTTGGGGTCCTCAATTTAATGAAAAAGAGAAAGTAAATTGAATGGAAGCGTTTATAGTTATTATTTATTTATTTTTCCTGACTACAGATGCAATTCGACCAGTATCCTCAAACTCTCACTGCCATTATTTCCTACCCACTGATGGACTGACTGTGTCTTTGAACTTGTGAGCAAAACTAAACTGTTTTTTCCTGAAGCTGCTTTGGCCAGATACTTTGTCATAGTGAAAAGACTAGTAATTATTATGTAGTATATAGATATACGCAAAATGCAATTACCGGGATTTGTCTTTTTTCAGTAAGTCAATGCCTCTGTTAGGAATCTAAAAGACAAAAGTTTTGAGAAATTAAATACATTAAAATTTACCCATTGGTAGAATACATCAACCAAGTAACATTCTGCAACCCCAATCACTTTATATCACTCAGTCTGTACAACACACCCAAGAAAATCTGCCAAGAGTTTAAAAGTTCATCTCAACCACCAAACTAACAAAGTGGGTAATAACATTTTGGTAGTATAACTCTAATAACCTTTAAAGAGGAAAGAGAAATGGAAGATGCTTTCACAAAACACAGTATTTCTACTGAAAAACAAAGTTCTTTTTTTAAGAAAAAAAAAAAAAAAAAGGGCACGGGGTTGGGGGTAAGGGGTGGTGGTACATGCAGTGAGTCCAAGGCCAGCCGGGTCTACAGAGTGAGTTTCAGGACAGCCAGGGTCACAGAGAAATCCCGTCTCAGCACAGAAATAACAACCTAAAAACCACCACCAACCATAACAACCACCACCTATGTTTTTTTGGGGGTGGGGAGGTGACAGCTTCTCACTATGTAGACCAGGCTGGCCTTGAACTAAACCTGTCTGTGCTCTTGAGTGCTAGGATTAATGACGTGTGCCACCATGCCCTGCCCAAATTTTTTTTATTGTATACAGGTTTTGTCTGCATGTATTTGAGTGATCATATGCATGCCTGATGCCCACAGATTAGAAGAGAGGGTCAGATTCTCAAAGAGGACTGGTTCTGAGCCTTCATATGGGTGATGAGAACTGAACCTGGGTTCTATTTAAGAATAGCAAGTACTCTTTATCAGTAAGCCATCTCTCCAAACCTTAAGATTTATTTTTATTTGTATTTACCAGTCTCTGTGAGTGCTGACACTTAAGTCCAAGGACCCTCAGAGGCTAGAAAAGGGAATCACAGGTAGTTGTAGAGCACCTGACTTGGGTGCTGGGAACTTTAATAATCCCTTTGAAGAGCATCAAGTGCTTTTAACTGGGCTCAAACCCCAGCCCCAAACATTGTAGTATATAAAATGATTAAACTAGACCAGTGAATTGGCTCAGTAGGTAAGGTGACTGTCCCAAACCTGGTAATCACACATGCACAGTGGCACTTGTACACCCATAAAATAAACGCAAAAAAGGCTAAATAACACAAAGGATAGCAGTGTACAAAAGGTCTAATGACAGTCTGAGGCCAGCGGGGTTTACAGTGAGTCCTAGCTAAGGTTCTTAGCAAAACCCTGTCTATCCTTTGCCTCTCCTCCCCAAAAGGTGGCTGGGAAACACTTTTGTGTCTTTTGCCAGGCATATGGACTTAGAATCTTGGCTGTTTAGGAAGCCACAACAGTAAGATCAGTTGAACCTAGTAGCCTGGGGGTAGATTGGGTTACATAATTAGACCTTGTCACCTAAGAGGTTAACACTATTAAGGACTACATACCCTCAGCACCAGTTTTTTATATTTCTCAGACAAGTCAACTTTAACACATCTCCCCTGAAACCAAAGTGCCTTCTTCAGACAATGGTCAACCATTGCCATTGCATCTTCTCTGGTCTCCATCTCAATAAAAGCCTGGAGGGAGAGAAGGAGAGAAACCCACAGTGACATTATTTTCCACAGAATTGTATGTATGAAAACGATGCTATTTTATATTATGCAATCTTTAGCAGAACAACTGTATACCCTGCGTCAAAGCCCCCTAATACTCTCCTGACTGATTCTGGGGATTGAATGCAAGCCTTGTACTTCTGAGTTTCATCCTGTCCTCTGAATTTTTTTACATAAAAAAAAAAAAATCAAATATGACTAAACTGAATTTAGCTACTAAATGTGGATTCTGAAGAGCTGGCTATCAAGGTGTATCACACTTATAAGTCTAGCATTCTAGAGGCCAAAAGGAAGTGATTGTTAAAAGATGGGAGGCACTCGGGAGGCATAGGCAGGCAGATTTCCGTGAATTCGAGGCCAGTCTGGGCTATAGAGTGAGTTCCAGGAAAGGCGCAAAGCTACACAGAGAAACCCTATCTCAAAAAACAAAAACAAAACAAAACAAAAAAAAGATGGGAGGCCAGCCTGAGCTACATATTAAATTTTAGGCCAGGAAGAGCGATCTATCACTGGGCGCTAGTGGGCGGATCTCTGTGACCAAATTCCAGGACAGGCTCCAAAGCTACAGAGAAATCCTGTCTTGAAAAACACAAACAAACAAAACAAACCAAAAAGAGCTACCTAGCAAAGTCCTGCTTAAGAAAAAACAAAACCAAAACCCAACAAACAAAAACACCATAATCACTACCCAAATCCTCAAAGCTTGGTGTCTATAGATGTGTAAAATCTTTAGGAAGAAACTCTAAAAACAAACTATTTTTCTACTATGAGAAGAGAAAACAATTTATTTTCCCCTTTGTACTTTCAAAACTTTACCACTTGACCATGAACATTTAACTAAAGTAATATATGATATTCAACCCACAAACTAATGCATTTCTACTACTGACATCCACTCCCAGTAAAATTATCTTAAAGTACACTGAGAAATTAAAATTACTCTTAAAAACCTTCCCATGTGTTATTACCTGACTTTTCATTCTCATCAATATGTAATTCTTTATTTTCCCGTAAGGCTCAGCAAGCTTGAGGACGGCACTGTCAGAATAGCCAGAATGTGGTAAATTGCTGAGATGTATCACACGTCCAAGTTCTTGCTTTTGATCAAACTTCTGATCTGGTTTTCCTTCAGGTTTCTTTAAAAAAAAAAAAGGGGGGGGGGGGGGATTTTAAATAACTGAAAGACAAGTTAAAGGTTGGCAGGTATGCTACAATTATTAATAGCCTAGCTTTTAAACAACCAAGTAAACAAATATAAAAATGATTTATTAAGCTGATTACATATAACTAAGAGACAAAGACAAATGAAAGGCTACTACTAACCTTTATTCTCTTATACTTCTGGGATAAATGAACTCTCACTGGCTTGCCAAATACTAATGCTGGTGTAGTTGTATAATAATCCACTGCAGCTTGAGCATCTTCTGTGGTTGCCATTTCAATAAATGCCTAAAATTACAAAAAGAAATTTCTAAAAAAACGTTTACCCCCAATCTTTATAGGTTTTACATTATTGTATTTAATAATTTAATAGGATGCATCTTCAATAATCGAAATGAAAAAAAAGATCAGTGTTGCAAGCTGATATTTTACTTAGGGCTCACAAACTATACATTTACTAAAAATCTATTTAACATTAGGATATACCTTTTCTTCTGATATTTCAAATTACACAGAATTTTCCATTAATCTAAAACCATTCAATTTCTTTAACATGAGTGCTATGAATAACTGATATTCCTACTCATACCTCATTAATTTTATTTAAAATCAGATGATTTGAAATGACTCCAAATGGTTCTACCAGTTGTAATAGCTGGTATCTCAAGTTTTTTCCTCGCTGAAAATCCATAATGTGAACAACTCGGCTGGTTTCCTATTCATTGGAGGGAAAAGGAAAAAGAAAGTCAATAAAAGTCCTTTTAAAAGCATTCTGAGGGGGAGTTGGATATATATTTCAATGACAATAGTATATACTTAGCATGTGGTAAGCACGAATAGCTAGGACTCATTTGTGCACCCATAATTTTTACATAAAATTTATTTTATGAGCCGGGCGGTGGTGGCACACGCCTTTAATCCCAGCACTCGGGAGGCAGAGGCAGGCGGATCTCTGTGAGTTCGAGGCCAGCCTGGTCTACAAAGTGAGATCCAGGAAAGGCATAAAGCTACACAGAGAAACCCTCTCTCGGGGAAAAAAAAATTTCCACGTGCACACTGTATGTATTAGTGTTGGGGTCAGAGAACAATTTGTAGGAATTGGTTCTTCCCTTCTACCATATGGGTCCTGGGAATCAAATTCAGCCGTTGCTGCTGTTGAACCATCTTTCCAACCCAGATTCTGTTAATGAAAAACTATGCACACAACTGGATACCAAAGTTCCTAAGATTCTAAATCAAGGTAAGGTCTTTTAACTATTACCAGTCATGTAAAAGCATGACAGCTTTAACTTTTTTTAAAAATAAAGATAGGGTCTCATTATGTCACCCCTGGCTGGCCTTAAAGAGATCGAGATCTCTCTGCCTCCTAAATGCTGGGATTAAGCGCATGCCACATCTAGCAAGCTTAATAGTTTTCAAATTAAAATACCCATCCTGTTATAAGGACTAAGGTTAAGATTTGTATCAATAAAGTCCAGCATGGTGGTGAATGCCTTTAATCCTAGCACTCAGTGGCAGGTGGATCTCTGAATTTGAGGTCAGCCTGGTCTACAATAGCCAAGTGCTACACAGAGAAACTGTGCTTCAAAACACCTCCACCACCCTCAAAAGATTCAATGAACAAGCATTTAAATGGAATCACATTTCTCCCAACAGCAATTATGATAAAAGCAATAGCTGTATTACAGACCACTCTGCCTTTTTGCATGTGTCTTGGTCCTTGTAGGTTCCCATTACCAGCACCTGTGCAGGGGAAAAAAATTTGTAAAGGAGTAAATAAACAAGGTAACTAGTGGAAAATGTTGTAGCAGTGAAAGAAGAACTATCACTATGTTCTTTTCTGAAAATTCCTTACACTTGTACTTTTATATAAAAAAAAATTATCAAATACAAAATATCAAGTACAAAAAATATACTTACTTTATAAAGCAAGGTAGTTTATTTTAAAAAATGAACATCTTTCAAATACAAATGGTAAGACATTGTAAATGACTCTTCTCATGCTATGTTACTTTAAAAGAACTTTTTAAAGAACATTCTGACACTACCATTTACACTAAAAGCAATTATAGCTAGTTAATAGAAAAGGCAATATGAATTTCATATAATCACCCAGATTTCCTCTTGGGCCAACCGCTGGTCCTCCAAGATGAAATGAAGGAGGTGGAGGTCCCAGAATTCCTGGTGCTGGATTTGTAGACTGCTGCAGCATGAATGGATCGCCCCTAGTAATAACAATAAAATAAATGAAGCACAATCAAGAGATTCATCACATAAAATTATTAAAGGACTCTTACATAACTATAACTATTTTAAGATGCAGGAGTATTTATAAACAAGGTAACTAGTGGAAAATGTTGTAGCAGTGAAAGAAGAACTATCACTATGTTCTTTTCTGAAAATTCCTTACACTTGTACTTTTATATAAAAAAAAAATTATCAAATTCTTATTTGGTGAAGAAACAGAAAATATTCTTATGAAACATAGGAAGTTAAACTTGGGATTCCTTACATTGAGCTCCTTTATAAACAATAGCCTAAAATTTTTAAACTTACATTGTGTGTCCTGTATCATTGTCAGGATTCCATTCTGGGTAGCTTTAAAAAGATCAGAAAATTAATTTTAAAATAAAAAGGTTCTTTTCACAAAGTAGCCTCCTTAAGCCTCTAAAACAGAGATGATTTATTAGTAAAGTTATCTGAGAATCTACATTTCAAAAGCATGTAACATATTTCAAAAAGAACTTCAGACACCAAGTGATATGGAATAAACCTGCAATACTTGTAAAATTTAAGTGATGCATGCTGAAATGATCCTGTATTTGTTAAATTGTAAGCAGGGTAAGTGCTGCACAAGGAATTAGAAAGGAGGTTATGTGAAGAAAACAAACAACAACAACAAAGAACCCAACTTCCTTCCCCAATATTAGGTATCAAACCAGAAAGGACAGTCCCAAAGGAGTTAGGTATGTATGGGTAATATCTGCTATAGTAGGCAGTTTCTTTGAATTCCATTTCAATGTAGCAGCCTAAATTCAGAACGCAAGCCACATATGTCAAAAGCTTTCCATGAGGAAACTGACTTGGTTTCTATTAATTTTCAATTATTCCTCTATATTTTTGTTCTATAGCATGTATTAACTATTACTAAAGTGCTATCATAGATTTTGATTATCAACCGCTATCTTTTCATTAATTCTACTAAAATTATTTCTTGATTAACAGGCCAATGTGCATTTATCCTAGCAATTAAAAACCAAGTAACAAAGCATCATTATATCTATTATTCATGAAGATATATAGTTCATCTGAAATTTAATATTAATCAGACATTATTAATTATGTGACAGTAACAATGTATGTATAAGTAAATGATGAACTTCCCCAAACCAATTAATGGCTGTTTCTCATTCACGATAAGGATGCTTTATACGTATTTCAAATTCCTACATTTCAAGAAGAAGCTGGCATCGACGACTGTGACTTGCTCCATTGATATGTTGACTCCACTCCTGCAGCAAAGTAAATTAGTAGAATTAACAAAAATTAAAAGCTAAAATATTTAATGTGAACCATTAAATTAATGTATATGCAGTATCAGGTTGTAAAACACTTCATTTGTTAAGTCACAGTGGTTTAAGTTAAAACCATTTCTGAATCCTTGAAGCTTGATCCTGCCCTCAAATACTCTATGCACATTCTTGGAAAAACTGGATTAATTTGGTCAACATAATTGAGACCTAACAGTGGAGAGGTGTAGATAGTAAAGATAAGAAGTCAATGGACCTTGAGGTCAACTGAGCACAGTAAATACTGTGGACCAAACTCAAGTATCCACTATTTTTGGAACTGATTATTTTGTAATGCTCTGTATAACAAAATCATCATATCTAGAGTGTGTGAATAATTAATCTAAAGTAGAATCTTTAATTTCTAGGCAAAAATTTGACTTTTAGGCAAATTCCAAGTATATTATACTTTCTACTATAGCAAAAACAAAACAAAATGAAACAACAAAAAAAGCACTGTCAAAAAAGGCCAACAAGATTTAATGGCTTATCTAAGAAAATTTCCCCATTTGTTAGAAATTTAAGCTCCCATATTTCCCTAACAGAATCAAATTTAAGGAGTGCGTCTTTCCAAATTTTAAGGAGGGAAACAATGTATTCCATCAGTATTTCCTTTTTTTGTGATTTAGTTTAAAATATAAAGCATTAACTAAATTTTCTTGATTCAAATTAATTTTCCTTTCTCTAAGAAAAATATCAAGTTAACTTTTTATCCAATATAAGAGTTAGGAAAGGTTGGCTTTGCTGTTAAAATGCCTTGGTTTATTTCCTAAAGTGCAGTATGACTAGATATGACTACGTCTAAATTATTTAAATTCATTGCAACAAAATTCCACTATGGTGGTGAAAAAACAATGAAACAATAAAGGCAAACTATTTGAACACCGTCAAGCATAAGTTATCTATACTGCACTGTTTTAAAAGTCCACATTATTTTACAAGTAGTTTTGATTTTTCACCAATTTCCACAAATCAAGACAGTATTTAAAATAGCTGCTGTTCTTGAAAGGTTTGAGTAGAATATAAACATGGTCAGGCAATGTATATTTCTCAAATGAGGGGATTAGAGAGCCTCAGCTAAATGAAAGCATAACATCAAATTACACAATTTGACTTTTAAGGCTGAACATGGCATTTTATAAATTGGACCCTAATTTTGATTTATATTGTAACAGTCTATGTATAATTCATACTCTAAGAAAGTTAATTAAAACCTTGTGAAAGAACTAAAATGGAACATATCCAAATAAAATAGTACTTAGAATGTGAGGTACTATCAACTACTATTCTTAATATCTCTGAAAACTAGATTGTCTTTCAAAAGTAATAGCTAATAGGAACTTGAGAGATTTCCATAGCTGTTATACAATCAGTTGGGCTAAAGTTTCTACTTGCAACACAATAGACCGTTTCTGGAAGCCATTTTAAAAATGGCTGTAAGCAAGAGGCGCCATAGGTAAATTCAAATTCAGAAAAGGGACAAAACGAATCCATCAACCTAAAGAGTTTCAGAACAACTTCAAATACATTACAAGTTTCTACCCTTAAGAAGCAGTGTCTAAGGAAAAGAATAAATGTTATCCCTATTAAGAATGCTTCTGAATTATAGGAGATGGAAAGGGCACAGAGCTGAAAAGAAATTATATCCAATCCCCCGTGTCCTCTAAGTTTCAAGTTCATGGTAAAAATGTAGCTGGTCTTTCAAGTACTAGAAAGAAGGCCAAGATCAGAAAATTAGTAAAGTACCTCCCAACCCATCCATTATAAATCAGCTCCACTGTACCTAATTCTCTTGATATCTAGTTTAAAATAAGGACTAAGAATCCAACAATTAAAAAAACAAACAAACACAACCTTCTGGATTCTATTCTGACATAATTCCTTTATGAGATAAAGAGTAGGGATTCACTTTTCGAATTTACAAGTCTAGTGGGGGGAAAATCCTACACTCACACTTATGTCTTTCAGGTATCTTTTTTGTTTTCTGAGGCAGGGTCATAGATGGCTTTTTGAGTACTGAGATGAAAGATGTGTGGCACCAGGTTCTTTGAGACATTGAAATTTTATAATAATCATTCTGAAAAGATTTCTAAAGTGGCAGAATAGAATGTAATTTAAAGATCTAAGTAATACTAAAGGAAAAAAAATAGAAATTCAAGTAATAAGACAAAAAAGCCGCAGTGGGCAATTTTCTTTAAGTGAAAGGAACTTGAAAGAAGTTTGAGACTGTATAGATAAGCTACTTGATGTTCTAAAGTGACCTAGAAAAAACTCGAAGCCGGTTATTTAAAAATCGCCTACAAATATAAAGTAAGGGCACTCCATCATGACTAGTTACATTATGCTTTTCACTTGAACTTTGTATAATGTAGGCAGGCCATTTAACATAATCATTAAGTGAAAACAACAGATTTTCCAAGTTATGCAGTAATACCAGAGAGCAGGATACTTATTTTTTTCATTGTCTATGTCCACCACAGAAATTTTTTAACAAGTCACATCTGTATCTGTTAACAGTTCATTGCTGAAGTAAATCAGCTAAGTTGAGGCAACTATAAAACAGAAAATCTAAGTGCTTAAATGTGTTCCAATTGGTCTAACCTACAAACACAAATTTTATAAATGCAATGGTTAAGCAAAAGTCCTCTAAAATAATTGTTAAATATACCTAATATTTTGAATATGCAAACTAGAACCCAAGCATTTTTTTATAAGCTAAAAATACTCCTTAATCCAAAGTATCATCAAGTCCTCCAAACTGCTCTTTTGTTAGTTTAGATTCATTTATATCATTAGCTTTTGGGAACTAGGACGTAGTAAAATTTGGAGGAAAAAATTTTTTTTATATAAAATATAAACTTGTATCTGACAAATCCTCTTATGGTTCCTTTTTGTGTTCCTTTCTTCCAACAGCAAAGATTTGCAGTTCTTTGAGATCACTTTCATTTGATCACTGTAAATATATTCCTTGGAATTTAGAACTCTTTTCTGAGAACACCAGTCATATAATTTCTGCTATATTTCTTGGTAAAGAGGTTAAGAACTAACATAGGAAAAGCTGGAGACAATCAAATTTAATGGACCTTTTTTCAATGCTTTAATTTACACCAGACTAAGTCTTCAAGTTTAGTATAGAATAAAAACATGGCATAGTTAGTGTAGCTAACAAATTTGGGAAAAATAAAATGTCTAACAAATAGGATTTGTTGATTTTGTTTTTAAGAGCTCCAGGTTCTATTCTTTGTTGAGACAGGGTCTCACTATGGAGACCTGGCTGGCCTGGAACTTAGTGTGTAGATCAGGCTGGTCTTGAATTTAAGAGATCCACCTGCCTCTGCCTCCCAGTGCTGGGATTACAGGCGTGAGCCACCACGCCCAGTGGTTCTATTTCTTAAATGAAAAACCTACAAACTTAACTTTGGCTTTTATGTTAACTTATTTGATATGAAATAAAAGATTAAAAGATAAAAATGCTGAGATCTAATCACAGTAAAGGGAACAATAAAACAAAAAAATTTAACAGTCTCGTGGATTAAAAAACAAAACAAAACAAAAACCACTAAAAAATGAAGTTAAAAGAAAGTGATATGAAAAGAAAATGTCCCAGATGCTGCTGTAAAGAAAAACCCTGTAACAGTGACCATAAAATCAATCTCATCATAGCAATTATTCCAGTTAGATAGGTTACTACAAAGCACATCGGGAAAAATGGATGTTCATAGATTACAGATCAAGCTAGTGGGGGGTGCTGCACCATTGACTTTAAGTCAACTGCAATATATACTGAAAAATAGAATTTTAAAAACTCCAGTGAGAATGAGTAACACTGAAAAAGTTGAAAGAGAAGGACATTTAAAAGGGCATTTTGAAAAGGTTTCCATTTTGCCAGATGTGATAATTAAAGAATTAGTTTTTTTTCCCCCCACAAATGACTATTCCAGAAGTACAATAAGCCTAAGTCAGAAAAAGAATTTTCTTACAAGGAACACAGAGCTGGATAATGTAGTCAACGATTTATCAAAGTCTCTAAAGGGACAGATGCAATAAATATGGGATAATAAAAAGTGAGCTTTGAAGTATGTTTAAGGAAGTTGTGGAAACGGAGAAAAAAAATGATGAAAAATTTCAGTCATAGTATGAGAGTTTGTGTTAAAGGGAAATTAAAAAAGGAAGAATGAACTAATCTAAAATATGAAACATACTGAAACACACACCAGGGCTCTACATTAACTTTCCCTGTAGCCACAGATAAGGAAAAAAGAGAATTGTACAAGAATATATCTTTGACTACATACAAATCAGCAATCAAGACAGATGGAAAGCTGAAATCTAGCATCCTAAATGGCAAAGCACATTGACTTCAGAAAAAAATGCTTAAAACATTCAACAAAGCAGACCAGGGGGAAAAAAGCCTGCTTAAATATGATTAAGAAGAACAAACTGATGCCCAAAAAACAACAAGATAATCCCAGTGGATGACAGCTTTGTGGCCAGAAGCATTCTAGGTAGACTGTATTATTAATGTAAAGCCCTGGTTTATATTGCTAAAAAACAATTACCTTCCAAATAAAGTGTTCTCAAAAGTATAACAATTCTTGATCAACTCAATGTCATCAGACTACAGAATTAGAGTAAAAGATATAGGTAAATACAGAATAGGCACTACAATGTAAAAGAAATTAGAAGCATCTGTTGCTTTAACTCACCTTATTAGAATGAACTGGCAAATCACATATAGAGCACAGATGGGGATAACCCTTCGGTAAGAGTCCATGGAAGTCTTCAATATTGCTACTTGGAGGAGCGCCCCTCTTTTTCTCAAAGAGAGATCTCTCTTGTAAGGGGCCAGGACCACGTCCCATTCTCTCATACTCACTGTCAAATTTATGATAGTTATGCGAGGTCTCACCAAAAAAAGAATCATCCCTACACCTTTCTCCATC